GGGCTGCACCCATGCCTCAGAAAGCCGCAAAGAGGCTTTTGCTCTGCTGCAAGGACAAGCGCAGAGCACAGCCCCACGCCAGCGACACCTCATTCGCCCTTGCGCTAGTACCAGGGGAGGCAGGAGCAGGCGGGCAGGCACCCCGACATGCACAAGTGCACAGGCTCGACAAGCGAGCGCCTGTGAGGCAGTCGGACGGGCAGCGCCGTGCCCGATGCTCACCCTTTGCAAAGAGCTCTCGTGGCTCCAAGTGTGCTGCGGGGCTGTGAAACGCAGTTTGCTGACCCTCCTGGGCTCCGAAAGGGGTTGCCTGCTGGTTCCTCCTGCCCCAAGCCCAACCTACCCGCATTCAAACCTGCCACAAACACCATTTCCTAGATGCATTTTGCTAAACAGACATAGAGCCAGCTTGCTGCTGGCACCAGTCCTGGAGCCTCCCTCGCTCACCCCATAATCACAGAGCAGCTTCAGACAAGACAGGGCACCAGCACAGCAGCTCAGCAGCCAAAAGGCTCCTCTGCATGCGGCGATCACACTTCCCAACTGGAAGAAAGCCCTCTCCATATTTCCTCATCGCTTGGGTCTTGGTCTCCCAGGGAGGGACACAAAGGCTTCAGCAAGCTCATAGAGTGGCCCCTGCTGAGATGCCTCCAGTTCCAGGTCCAGAAAGCAGAGCATGGTGAAGAATCCTAACACATCTCTGCTGAGACCCCTAACACTAGGTATTTTGCTTGCAGAGGGGGGCAGAGGCACTCAGCAGCAATTAGACAGGCTCTATGCAGGCAAGACATGATTTGCTGAGCTTAGCTCAGACCCAGAGCAAATGGCTCAGATCAGGGACTTGTGTCTCTGAGCCTCCTAGGTTTGCTGGGTTTTTTACCACACTGGCTTTACTCCTCCACTATCTCAAGGATGCCTCTTCATAGGAGTGAAGTCTCCCCACCATAGGGTGCTGAGAAAGTAAACCCATTTGGTTTTTAAATGGTCAGACATTACAGTGCAGAGCCACGGAAAAACTGGGAAGGCAACTCCTACCTGCCTCCAGGAGCACTGCAACATCAGGATGCACAATCCAGCAAACGAGAAGGGTACCCTGAGCCTAGAGGCTGGAGGGGCTGGAGGCTCCAGCCAGTGCTGGGAATGGGACAGAACTCTTAGAGGGCAAACGGTGGGGATCACACAATTACTGATTGCATCCTAATGCCCTTGCACGTGAGGCCGAATTAAGGTTGCCTGGGAAACTGTATCTCTGACATTTCCTAATCCCAGCACTAGACTTTACAAGCCACACAGGGCTCTTTGCAGCAGCCACGGTGCATGCAACCGCTCCCCCAGTGCAGGGGCGGAGGTTACAGCTGCTGGCAGGGCAGCTCCTAGGGGTGCCCCAGACACCCCCCGACACCAGTTTGGTCAAAGGCCAGGCATTTCCATGCTTCGCTCACCTCCCACGTTGCAGAGGGAGCTGCTCACCACTCGGCCGATCCCAGCGCACCGCTCAGATGCCTGGGTACCAAGGCATCGCACGTTCTTATACGGCACAAGCTTTGCTGGATTTGAAATAATTCAGGTGCAAAGCAAAAACCTGACATGCAAAGCCACTGTCCCAGGGCAGCTCTCAGTGCAGCCCAGTCCTTCAGAGAGCAGCCAGGCACTGATGGCACTTGGACACACATGCTCTTTTGCACGTGAGTGTTTTTCACGTGTTTATCTGATGTGGCAATGCACACCCACATCCCTGCCACAGTCCTGAGGCTGGTCTCGCTCTATTATATATGCCAACTGTAAGAAAAGAAGAAAATCAAAAGAAAATTAAGGTGAAGGACCAGATCATCACTGTGTTCTCACTGTAAAATAGTTTTTATGCTGCTCACCAGAGAAGGCAACAAATGGTGGCTCTCCAAGAGCATTCACAGTTCAGACACAGAGATCCCAAGGCAGAGCTGGGGCTCTTCACCCCATCTTACCTACAAACATCCTACCTGCCACCACCTTTTGCTGCAGCAAGATGGTCCCCAGAGGATACCTGGGGAGATCCTTCACTTATTTATAAAGTTTCTTGCCCTGGAGATAAAGAGTGTTTGGGGTCCCCTCAGAAGATTGCTGGGTTTAACACTGGAGCCACTCTGAGTTGTAACCAAACTCAGTTCATTTTCTCTGTCATGTGCAAAATTTCCCCAGTTTTACGCATCTTCCAGCTTGGCTTTTGGTGGATGCCAAAGCCAAACCCAAAAGCAAACCAAATGCTGGCCTTCCAAGAAGGGTCCAGCCCACAGCCCACGGGGGATGCCCGGGCCAGAGGAGGAGCCTACAGCTGCACCCGTGGCACAGGAGAAGGGAGCACGGGGCGGACAGCACAGCATCGTGCAGGATGACTCAGTTCGGGGAGGCTCTCGCAGGAAAGACACACGCCCAAGAGCTTCCTGGCCAGCCGTTCCCCCACCCCGCGGCACTGACCCTGTGCTCCCAGCAAAAACACCAGCAACCAGTCCCAGCAGGCACGAGACAAAGATGTCCCAAGGCAGATCCCCAACCCATCCCCAAGCACACTGTGCCCTGAGTGCAGGCATCCCCACGTGGAAAGGTCCCTCACTGCCTCTCTCCCCACGGCATCCTGGTGGTATTGCTCCTCATGCCTAACCCGAACACGGTAGAGGAGACATCTCCAGGGCATCCACCTTGCTCAGGCAAGCCGTATAGGGCCCAGTCCGAAAAAAAGGGAAACGAGTGCCCAGACCAAGCAGATGGAGAAGGATCTGTGCTGGTCCCTATGTCCAGCAAGTGTTTGTAACAGAGCAGCAGGCACTGCGGAGCTCACTCTAAATGCGTCCCCACAA